GCTTTTGCTGTGAAGGGACTTGTATTTCAAGCTGGATTCTCCTAGTTTTGAAAGGAAAGCACCAGGTACTGGAAAAGAGGGTGGTTCTTCCATTCTGTCTGTCCACAGTGTCTCAGCATTCAAAGTTAGGGTGGGTGGGAGGGGTGTAGCTCAGTGGTAGAGCATGTGCTTAGCGCGACAATCACACGGCTCCCTTGGAGTTTTGTGACGGCGATACGCAAGGTTGATTCAGCACTTTTATTAATAGGCCGTAAGCAGACTTAGAGTCTTTCTGCTGCGATCCTTTTAGCTGTCCTATCAGATGGGCATTCTGATTGTGTTGCCAGTGGCTAAGCAAGGGGACAACATGTAGATTTGATCACGGGGGAAAAAACAGATGGTTGCTCACCTCAAAAAAAAAAAAAAATCATCCACAAAGAAGCAAAAGCCGGGCATTGCGAGACGTCAGAATAAGGTGGTGTGTTCCCAGGAGCTGCTGGCCTGAGCAGCCCCCAGGGTTACCCTGTGGGCCTGTCTGTAGGAGAGAGGCAGTGGGCAGGAGGTGGGTGGGGCGGGGAGGTGGGGGGCGTGTCTCATGGCCCCTTTTCCCCAGTTGCTTCAGGTCCAGGTCAGATGGGAGGTCAGATGGGATGGCGGTTGTAGAGGTAGGGAGGGTACAGGCCGTCATAGTGCCACTGTCGCCACTGCTCCACTGCCTCCCTGGTCCTCTCTTCCTGCTCTGAGGAGGAAGGACAAAGGTCATTGTGCAGTCTAGAGGACACCCAGCCCAGCTGCAATTGTTGATCAGCCCACAGCACGTGCTGACGGGACATTGAGCTAAGTGTTCCTGTGTGCCCAGGAGACTCCCAGGATCAGAGCTGGAAGGGGCCGATGAGCCTGTGTACACAGGCAAGAGGATAAAGGTCGAAGTCGTAGCTGGTCGACACCCAGGCTGCCTTACCTTTACTACCAATGAGGGAAAGAGCCTTACTCGGTCACTTAAACAGACGACTAGACACCAAACTAACAAGGAACATCACGGCCACATGGGGACAAGCCACACCTTGAAAAACTCATGTATGAGGGCCAGTGAGGTGCTTTGTCTGGGGTGGTGCTTGCTGTTAAGTCAACAACCTGAGTTCCACCCTAAAACCCACGTGAAAGGAGAGAACCAACTCCCACAAATAGTTTTCTCACCTCTACATGCGCATGCACACATGCACACAAAGAAATAACAGAATAAAGACAAACATGGAAATTATTGACAGCATGGAGTGGTGGATCATGGTACTTTCTCTCTATAAATTGGGTGGCTTTGCTTTTTGTTTTTGTTTTTGTTTTTTGTTTTGTTTGCTTTTTTGAGATAAAAATCTTATGCAGCTTAGGCTGACCTAGAATTCATGATCCTCCGGCATCAACTTCCTGAGTGGTGGAATTACAGATATGTGCCACCATACCTGACGTGTTCTATATTTTCTAAGCTTCAAAACTAAAATTTTGTTGTCAAAACTAGCTGGAAAGGGATGGATGATGCAAGTGTCAGAAACCATGGCTACTGAGGATGTCTCATTTCTGTGTGAGCCCCTTTCGTATTTGGTACCTGGAATGACCAGGTACATACAGAGCCCAGCCCCGGTAGGGGGTTTTAGCCTTCCAGACACTTTTCAAGCTCAGTGGAGCGATTCCTCTTCCAGGTATGACTTTGACATAGATGCTGATTAAACGTCTCTTTGTTGATCAGGTGTCCCTTTTAGGAAGCAGCTCACCTGGGAGAGCTCAAATTTACAGTGGCTTAACATAAAACTGCTAACTGAAAGCAGGTTGGCATGGGGCTCAGAAAAAGAGTTGCAGGTGGCATGGGACTGACCTAGGCCCTCTACATATGTGTGACAGTTGTGTAGCTTGATCTACTTGTGGAACTCCTAGTAGTGGGAACAGAGCCTGTCCCTAACGCCTTGGCTGGCTTCCAGGAACCTAGTCCTCATATGGGGTTGCTTGCCCAGCCTTAATACAAGGGGAGGAGCTTAGTCCTACCTCAACTTGATATGCCATGCTTTGTTGACACCCACATGAGGCCTGCCCCTTTCTGAACAGAAACAGGAGGAGTGGATTGGCAGGTGAGGAGGGTGGGGGAGAGGGAGGAGAAACCGCAGTTGGGATATAAAATAAATGAATAAATTTAATTAATAATTTTAATAATTTTAAAAGGGGTATCTTATTGCCTGCCAATTGTTACGTCTAGTTTATAGCTTTCAATATTTGTTACTTTTCACTACCCAGAGTCCTTAAAAATCACATAAATAGCCAGGCAGTGGTGGTGCACACCTTTAATCCCAGCACTTGGGAGGCAGAGGCAGGCGGATCTTTGTGAGTTTGAGGCCAGCCTTGTCTACAGAGCGAGATCCAGGAAAGGTGCAAAGCTACACAGAGAAACCCTGTCTCGAAAAACCAAAAAAAAAAAAAGAAAAAGAAAAAGAAAAAAATCACATAAATAAAAGTATTTTACAGGAAAAACAAGTTGCAGGTATATGCAAGGTAACAGTCCAGGCAGCTGGACCACCGTGACAGTCATTGGGGGCAGAAAGGTAGGAGGGGGCAGGGCCGGGAGAGGGTGTAATGAGTTCCACTTTTGTCAAAAACTGATTCTGTGGTGAGCTAGGCTGGCTCCCTTTCCCCTTTCTTTATTAAGCTCTGGAGAGACCATTTAGGTCACTCTCTTTCTCCCTGCTCATGTCTTCATCGTTGTGGACCAGCGGGACAATCCCCCAAGGCCTCCATGAATGTGATGGAGAAGAGCAGCTGCTGCTGGCCGGCAAACCTGACCTCCCTTCCTAGGGCGTCTCCTACCTCATCACCGTGTGTGGCTGTGCGCCTTTTCCAAGCCTCACTCTTTCCAACCGTAAAATGAAAATGGTAAGTCCTGTCTTCAGAGGAATGTTGCGGGAATTATCATACAAATGCTCAATGCCAACAGCTGCTGTACTGACAGTCCCCAGCACCCTCTGCCCTGCTAGTCCTCTCTGTTCAGGTGGGACTCAAGGACCACAGTCCTAGTATCCTCTGAAACCCCACATCCCATCTCATCACCAAAGAGAAAACAGTAGTGTTATTCCATCCATATGCTAGAAATTTGAAAATGATACGTTTTGCTTGCTTTATTTTTTTGTTTGTTTGTTTGTTTGTTTTTGGAGACCGTTTCTCTATGTAGCCCAGGCTGGCTTCAAAGCTGCTTCAATCCACCAAGTAAGTGCTGGGATTCCATACCAGCATCACCAGGCCTGGCAAAGGCCTGAAACATTTAAAATGGTACTGTGTCGAGTGTTATTAGGAACAGTGTGAGTAAAAATTACACTGAAGGAAATTTGGATTCCAAACCCTCGGATTTTAAAAACAAGACGGCTCTCCTCAGCTGCTCGCCAAGATCAACAAATCTCTAACAGAAGCATTTGCTCCTGAGGTGACAATCTGAGTTCCTTACGCTGTGTTCCCAAGAGAGTTTGATTTCCTAGGATTTGAACCCAACACCTGCCTGCAGGGCTTTGCTAGGTGCCACCTGCAGGGGAGTGGGCACAGCTTCAGCCCTTGGTTCCTAGCAGCATAGTCTTTTCACTACGCCCTTAGAGGAAGGACCTCCTCAGCCATCAGAGCCCAGAAGCCAGGAGAACAGAGAGCTGACAAAACCTGAGTGAAGGCTTTGTACCCAAGCTTGTGCACCAGGAGGCTCTGAGAGACTGTGTGGGAGCGTGTCAGCTTGAAATTGGAAAAGACCCACAGAGAAATGTTCATATCCTCATTCTCCCCCATCTCCCTTTCTCCAATCTCCCAGTCTTCTCTCACTTAAGTGTCCCTACGGATGGTTGCTATGGGTGACACTCAAGACCACTAGCCTGTTGTGGTTCAGACAGAACCTTCCGGAACTCCTATCCCCGCCCACACCTCCTCCACTGAGGCCTGGTGTGAGCATGTCCTGAGGGCAGATAAGAGCCCCATGTGTAGGAAATGGATGTGCCCATTGCCTTGTCAGAGACTCTGGGCTCTCTGCATCTGTTCTCCTCTATTGACAAGAACGAAGGCTTAGTAAAAAGGCCACCTTCGACAGATGAGTGAAGGCACAGAAACCCATGGTGGGTGGGGGAACCTTCCAGGATCCATGTTGCTGTTGGGTGATTGAGAAGCCAAGACAGAATAAAGATATTAGAAGTCGGGTACAAGGCAGGGTAAAAAGAACCAGCGCTTTTGTGTCGTCTGTTCTCAGGACCAGAGTGTTATGAGCTGGGGAGATCACTTAGTGGATAATGATCTTACCACCTACAAGTGTGAAGACCAAAATCCATGTAGAATGCTGAGTGGGCACAGTGGCCCCAGCCTCAGGAGGTGGAGACAGCATCTCCAAAGAGAGCCGGATAATGAGACTAGTCATATTGGCAAGCTCTGGGTTTGATTGAGAGGCCCTGCCTCAGTGAATGGGGTGAAAGAGCGATCGAGGTTGATCCCTGACATCAACCACAGACCTCCACATATGTATGCATGAGCACACACACATGAAAATGAAAAAAAGAAAGAAAAAGAGAACACTGCTTGCAGTGAATAGATAAGTAAGTGGTCTTGATTTTACTGGATAAAGTAGCACCTGGAATTAGTACATTGATTTCTAAGGAACTCATGATCATGACTTTGATATCCATCCATCAACCCTGTAGGAGCCAAGTCACAGTTTGGGGTGCTCATGGGGGGGGGTTTATTTCCATACAGTCAGCCAATAACTCCCTGGTCTCCTCTGTCCCCAAGCCAGTGTGTCCCCAACCCTACATGTCCTTTGTCCTCTTCCACAACATCTCAAGCCTGCATAGCCTTTTTTTTTTACTTGTTCTCTTCACATCTACCATGGATAGGTACTGAAAATGGATCCCCTGCCCCTGCCTCCCTCCTCCAGTCAACCGCAGGGAAGCGTGGGGGCAAGCCTGGGCTGCCTGTCCTCACTATGCTCTCCTCCCGCAAGGAGGCTGCTGGAGAGCTCTTACCATCTCTTTGTTCCTCCGCGAAGTTCTCCAACTCATTCCTTTGTTCCTCATAATACTCTCTCCGCAGCTCATCATCCCGCAGCTTCTGTGTGTTTTCCGCTGTGAAAACAGAGATACCCTTGAGAAAGGAGCAAGCAGAGCACCTGTGTGCGCGGCACCACACTGTACCCGAGAAACCGGATCTGCTGATGTGAAGAGGGTGATCGAGGACTTTGCTGAAGTGGTTTGTGCCTCACCTGGACTTTAAAACACGAAGGGCCTGAGAGACCACCCTCTCCAGTCACTCCATTTTGCAGAGAACATGGAGGCCCATAAGGGGAAAGTGCTTTGGCTCTGGTCACAAAGTTAGTGGTTACCAGGCCACTTAGAAACTGGAACTCCCACGACGGGAAAGGAGCTCTCTAAAGGTTAATTGGTTTGGAAGTTAACTTAGGGGCTGGAGAGATGGCTCATCAGTTAAGAGCACTGGCTGCTCTTCCCGAGAACCTGGATTTGATTCTCAGCACCCACATGGCAGCTCACAACCACTGGTAACTCCAATGCCAGGGAATCCAGTGCCCTTATTCTGGCCTCCATGGGTACTGGAATGCATGCTGTGTACATAATACATACATGCAGGCAAAACACCCGTACACATCAAGTAAAAATAAAAATTTTTAAAGTTCATCTCACATGGATGAATACCTTCTGTCTCAGCAAGGATGTGGGGTTAGCAGTGAGATTAAAAGGGTAGATAAGAGGGGCTGGCAAGATGCCTCAGTGGGTGAAAGTGCGTGTCACCAAGCCTGATGACATGATCCAATCCCTAGGACCCATATGGTAGGAGAGAACTGACTCCCACTGATTGTCCTCCGACATCTGCTTGTGCACTGTAGCGGGTGTGCACTTGCTACATACAAAAGGCACATACACACCCAAAGTAAATGCATAAATGTCACTTAAAAAGTAAAAGCAGATAAGATGCCATTCTTCCACTTCTTAGGAGGGACAACCCCATTGTGCCATTAAGAAGGGTGTGAAATCACATGTCAACAAGCTAGGGAGTGTGACTCCATGGTAGAGCACTTGCTGAGAATGTGCAAGTCCTAAGGTTCGATTCCCAACATTGCAAAATAACAGTAATATTCAAACAAGTTTTCACCAAGCATGATGGCTTCTATAATAAAAGTCTGAGAGCTGTGATGCTCTGGAAGATGATACTTAAAGCTCTTTAAAGGTTCTTACAATGTGTCCTGTGGTGGTATTTTACTTGTACTGAAATGTGATTTTAATTGTATGTTAATAAATAAAGTTGCCTGGGGGTCAGAGCTATTAGAGCCATAGCAAGTGCGTGTTGGCGGTGGCGCACGCCTTTAAGGACCTGGAAGGCGGTACATACAGGCAGTGATGAGGCAGTCACGTGTTTGGGTTTACAACCAATGAGAAGGCAGAACAGCTAGACTATATAAAAACATACACACAGGAAGTAGGTCCCTTTTGGAGAGCTCTCTTGACTGAAGAGGATCCCTGAATCAGGAAGGGTGAGGCTCTTAGCTCTGACCTCTTGGCTTTCTTCTCTGAATCGGCTCTGTGTTTCTTATTTAATAAGACGGTTGGTTACATCTACATTTGGCGCCCAACGGTGTCCTTCAACTGGAAAGCACACTGAAGGCCATGGGCACTTCAGGAAGAGTGGGCCCCTCAGATTGCCTCACATTCTCAAGGCCCCCCTCACATCACAGACTGCACTATAGAGCTTGTTGCCCTCTGACACTGACATGCAAGAGGAGAAAGAGAAGCAGAAAAGCTAAGGCAAGGACAGTGCTCATCAGCACTCCATGGTACAGAGTGTTGGACTTGCCTAGCATGCACAAGGCCTTGAAGTCAATACCTAGTACGGGGGGAGAGGGGAAGAGAAGAGAAGAGGGGGGCAGGAAGACGGCTCAGCAGCAGGGTACTTACCACCAAGCCTGGCAACCTGAATGTGAACCCCAGAATCTACATGGTGGAAGGAGAGAATCAGCGTCCACAAAGTGTCCTCTGACCTTGACACACACGCTGTGGTGTGCACATGGACACATACACACAACCCAGCGTGAATCAATGAATGAGGTTTTCATTTGTTGTGTTTTGTTGAGGGAGGAAAGAAGGAAAAAGAAATAAGGGGGAAAAAGGAAGAAAACCTCAAACCCCTCCTGGAAGCAAGAAGCTTATACTGATAAGTAAACATGTGACTACTAATTAACTCATTAAACCCTTTAAAAAATTTTTTAGGCTATCTGTGTATTTGCCGTAGTACAGATTTCTGAGGGAAGGCCTTTGTTTCTTCCTAAAGTTCTGCCTTTATTTACAGTGACAGAAAACTTTATCCTGACAGAAACAGTCCACAGTCCAGTCCGTCTCCACATCCTACAGATTCCTCAGGAGGTGACTCAGGCTCAGAGAGGTCCGCTGACCGAATGGAGGCCACACAGCAGCCTGGACACTTACATAGCAGTATCTCCCTTCTGACTCACTGGCAGCTCTGATGTGGCTCCAGATATCAGAAAGCTGCCACAGGAGTGCTCAGGTTTGGGCAGGACATTCTGAGTGACTACCCATTCCTGAAGAAGCAGCTTTGTAAAAGAAGCCATCCAAATATTGCACATCTGATGTAACAATAACAAAGAATGATCTCATTCTCTACCAAAACAGTGTTTTATAGGATGTGCCAACATACACATTGTATACATCTTTTAAAAGTAAGTGGGCATGGTGCCATGCACTTGTAATCCCAGAGCAGGGATGGAAGAGCTGTCCAAGGGGCTTGCTGGCCCGCCAGACTAGACTATCTGACAAGTTCCAGGCCACTGAGAGACCCTGCCTAAAAAAGAAAAGTGGATGGCAACTTAGAAACAACACCTGAAATTGTCTTCTGGTTTCCACATGCATGTACACACACACACACACACACACACACACACACACACACACACACACACACAAATACATCTGATTCTTATTCTAAAGCAGTTTCAAGTTCAGGTTATTCCAAGGTGACGCTCCTCTACCTGTCCACAGAAGTTGGCCCCAGTGACTGCTGATGTACTTCTTTTTTTAGAATTTATTTATTTGTATTTTATGTAAATTGGTGTTTTCCCTGCATGTATGTCTGTGTGAGAGTGTTGAATCCCCTGGAACAGGAGTTATAGACAGTTGTGAACTGCCATGTGGGTGCTGGTAATTGAACCTGGGCCCTCTGGAAGAACAGCCAGTGCTCCTAACCGCTGAGCCATCTCACCAGCCCCCTGCTGATGTACTTCTGTGAAGTCCTGGGTATTCACTTGGATATGCTGGGCCTCCCCCACTGTCTGCCTGCCTGAGCCTCCGTGCAAGGTGAGAGACCTCAGGCTTAATCCTACCCCTCATTATTCCAACTCAGTTTCACAGGACAGAAGATAATTCCCTGTCCATACCTGTTTCCTCCCACAAAGTCTGCCAGAGGTTGCTTCTCTGATTGCAATCAGGGACTGCACCTACAGCCCAGACTTTCAATGTTACTCGACATTGGCCTACTTCAAATTTGAACATTTGTGTGTGCAGTCTGGCAATTTCCTACTGTGGTTGGTTAGACTTCTCCAAATTAAAAAAAAAAAAAAAAAGAATGATCTGCAAGCATGTCTATCTCTGTTTTTCCCCATCATTTGAAAATAATCCTGCTGTTTTTCCTGAACAAGAAGTCACCTTGACTGCGGTAAGGGACACAAAGAGTTCATTCATCCACACACACAAGGAAAGTTAATCAAGCCATAGACTCAGCCAGGACAGTCTGAGCTCAGAGGCTTGGAAGAATTAGTTCAGGGATAGGAAAGTCCAAGGCCTCCTGGGTCGGAAGGTCAAGAACCAGAGTCTTCAGGTCCTGGAGACTTCAAAATTCACAGAAAATTAAATTGGAGAAAAGCAAAACAAAAAATTCCCTCCCTTGATACATTGCCCCCTGCCTCTTTCCTGGGTCTATAGGTAAGGAAATTGGAATCAGAGGGAGGAAGTGGCTGTGGCCACTCAGCAACAGAACTGCCACCAAGCCTACACTTCTCAGCACTTAGGTCCCTAGTACTGGTCCCCTGAGTGCCACATTGTTGTCCTGGGTGTACCAAGCCACTAATCCTTAAAGCACACTGAAGTGGCCTATTCCTTTTAGACCTAGCAGACATTCCCTCTAAGTTTTTTTCACTTTTTGAATACATCTCGGTGCTCTTGATGTGGCATAGTTTTTACTGTTCCTTATCTTGATGCCACAGTAATCCAACCTGTGACCCACAACCAGTGAAATATGATACTGTTTCTACATTTTTATTTCATTTGTTAGGAACACATGTATGCCACGGTGTGCATGTGGAGGTCAGAGGCCAACTTGTAGGAGTCAGTTGTCTCCGTCTACTATGTGGGTTCCAGGGATTGCATTTGGGTCACCTTTGCCCATTGGGCCATCTCACTGGCCCCAGTTATGGTATGATTGCTCATTTAGAGCTCTAGTTCACCTTAATATCTGAGGGCTTTTGTATTCCATTGTGGGAGGGAGACCATCCGGCTTCCTTACCATTGACTTCGTCTTGGGATTTGGGAGACCTCTTGCCACGCCTCTTGAGGAAATTCGAGGCATCAGATTCTTGCATGAAAATCTTCTCTTTCACACCTGAAACCAGAAAAGTGCTCTTTGCAACCAGCATGGGGTGGGGGAGCAGGAGCCACCTGTCCCATGTGTAGGGATGTCCCCTGGACTCACCTTCTGGTGCCTCTTCTCCGGCTGCCGGTCTGCTCCCCACGGAAGCACTGGTCCCCTCTTGTAGCACTGTGGGATAGGGTACAGGGACAGGCTGCAGCACCAGAGCCCCCAGTGGGGCTTCAATAATTCTGGGTGCAGTAGCTCGTTAGACTACATGTGGGGCCCTCTGCCCCTCAACATACCAGTCACATAGCCAATCTTTATGAGAATCGACCATATGAGCTGACTTGTTTCCTATTTGTTATCTTTGCTATTTTTCTCTGTGTTATATTATCTTGTACACACACACACACACACACACACACACACACACACACACACGCCAAGCATAGCTGCCTTAACAAACACACTCCTTCCTACCTGTGGCACCTGAGCAAGCTGACCTATATAAAGAAGGTCTTACTGTGTAGCTACTGCAGCCCACCCTTTCTGCCCTCCCATACTCACTACACAGGAGCACCATGGCCAAGAGCGATGATAGGAGGATGACTTGTCTCCAGGACATCTTTGTCGTACACCTCCAGAGACCAACCACAGGGCAGAGGATAAGATGAGGTGTCTTGGAGCCCCTAGTACTGCTGAAGCTGCTGCCCTGTGAGTCCTCACTTCTGAGTCAGGCAGACAGGCAAAGGAGAGAGCAACAGGAGGCAGGAAGCTGGGGTGCCACTGGAGGAGAGAGGGAGGGGTCCTGGCTGTGCTTTCCATTGGCTGCTCCTGGCCAGAGCACTGGAGACGTTTTTGGCGCCTGGCAAAACCTCCACAGAAGCGGAGCTTGTAGTTGGTGGGGGTCCTGGCAGGGACAGATTGGAAGTGTCCTTTCCAACAACCATGCCCAAGGAGGAGCTTTGAAGAATCCTCAGCCCGAGTCCGGGTGGGGGAGGCCAATGGCATGTTAGAATGAGTTCTTTGCATTTGCTTGAGGGAGGGTAGGATCCTGGTAACCATGGCTGTAACATGTGGGGCCAGGGGAAGAGGGAATTACTGAGAGATCATTTGCATTCAAATGTCAGACAAGGATGGCCCCTAATATCTGGACTATACCCTAATGTCTGGTGATGTTCCCTGAGACATGTGGGCCGTTCTGATGATGCCTACAGGCCTTCCTCTCTTGATCCATTGTTCCCTGGGGTGATTATTGTCAAGCGAAACATGGATCCCTTGGCCTAGGGATATAGTTCAGTGGTAGGGAGTTTTCCTGGCATGTGTAAGGTCCTAAGTTCAATCCCCAGGACTGCAAATTTAATGAATTAGTTATAAACAGTTTTAAAACGTGGAACTCTAGGCTTACCGAGGTTGCAGAAGACAACAACAGCAGAAGAGTTATACTTCTTTATAACTGGGCTGGGGAGACGGCTCAGCATTTAAGAGCGCCTGCTGCACTTGCAGAGGGCTAGAGGTGGGCACAGTCTTCTGATCTCCAGGTGATCGACTATACTAGCACGTAGTCCCAGGACAGGAATGGGCCACGGGGCAGAGCCACTTGGACAGGAATCCTAGTGAAAGAGTAGCTGTGGGAAACACCTGTGGCCACCTTGACATCCCCCTAGCTACCCATGCCCATGGAAAGACCATCCCGTTCAATGCAGGCATCTGCTGAGCACTACTTTCTTCCAAGCCCCTTTACGAGTCACCAACCAGTCACTTTGGGGTAAACTTTACCTCTTCCCCAAAGTCACTTATTCCCACTCTGGGGCTTTGTATAGCCATTGTCTACGCCAAAGGACTTAGAGAGTAACCCCCCCCCCCACCCATGCTGCTCTCTTAGACCAGGCTGGGAGAAGATGGCCAGAGATCGGAGCCTCTGAGCAGAGTACTAAAGCCCTTAAGTGAGAATTAAGTGTGAATCTCACATTTCTATGCTGTTGGCCTTAGATTTGTACCAGCTGTGCTGAGATGGTCCACAAAATGGTCCCTAGCCACTTCTCACGATCTCCCAGTTCCCTCAGAACTTTCTATCCCAAACCATTGGCACACAGCTTGTCATAGTCTTCAGTCTTCCTTCTACACCAGGGCTGCCCACCAGGCTGGGCACACGGCCAAACTGGCTGATTCATGATGTTTCACCCTGTAGTATAACAATCCGTGTCACCTCAAGAAAGGGTCACCACTCTAGCGACTGGAAGGGGAGCAAATGAGAAAAGTTCAGGATCTGAAAGCAGAGGACTTAGTTTGACACGTGTGTAAATTCCTGACGGCATCACCACCAGTATACAAAAAAGACAGCCACATGCCTGTATTCATAGTGATGCTCTGAGTGTGTCACAAGTTATGAAATCAGCCTCGTTGCCTATCAACAGATATTGAACAGATAAAGAAGATGGCTTGGGGAGATGGTTCAGCTCGTAAAATGTCTGCCATGCCAGCACAAGGCCCTGGGTCTGGCTCCGCAGAGCCTGTGTAAAAAGGCAGGGGAAGGAATGCTTGAGGCTTGCAGAGACAGGCAGGTCACAGAAGCTCATGGACCATCCAGCCCGGCAGAGCCAATGAGCTCAGGGAGACAGTCTCAAAAAACAATAAAGGTGGATGTGGTGATATATTGTATACTCCAATAAAACTTCCCTGGGGATCAGAGGACAGAGCCAGCCACTAAATTAGACATAGAAGTCAGGCAGTGGTGGCACACACCTTTAATCCTATTACTAGGGAGGCAGAGATCCATCTGGATCTCTGTGAGTTCAAGGCCACACTGGGCTACATGAGAGAAACAGAACCAGGCAGTGGTGACACATACCTTTAATCCCAGGAAGTAATATGGCAGGGCAGAGAAAGGTATATAAGGCATGAGGAAACAGGAACTCACTCTCTTTAGGCTGAGGATTTCGTAGAGGTAAGAACTAGTGGCTGGCTGCTCTGCTTCTTTGATCTTTCAGCTTTCACCCTGATATCTGGCTCTGGGTTTTTTATTATAAGACCTTTAAAGTAACCAAGGAAAGATACCTGGTGTCAACCTCCTGCCTCTGCACATGTATGTGTATACACTAACAAGTACACTTACCACACACACAGAGGGAGAGGGAGAGAGGGGGGAGGGAAGGGAAGGAGACTGGGAAGAAGGGAGATACACACAATGGTGGTTTATTTAGCTATAAGGAAAAATGAAATTACATCATCTGCAGGAAAATGGATGGAACTGGAGATCACCACGTTACATAAAACAAACCAGACTTAGGCTAGGAGTGGTGGCGCACACCTTTAATCCTGGCACTGGGGAGTCAGGCAGGCGGATCTCTGCGAGTCTGAGGTTCATAGGTGGAACACAGATTGTATATACAATGTTATATAATGTGTATATTTCGTGTAACACAGTTTATATTGGAGGTAAGGAGGAACTATTGGGAGGTAGGAGGGGACAAGAGAAGAAAAGCAGGGGTGAATATGATCCAAGAATATACATATGTGAAAAGTTCACATGAAATTATTGTGCACAAATAATGTACAATAATAATAACAGTAATGGTAATAGTAATTGATAAAGGCTTGGTTTGGATCCCATAAGTACCATGGACTAGATTTGGCCAGTGACATGATGTTTGCATTTTCTCTTTTTTATATTTTCTCTATTTCCATGAATGATCCCACCATCCATCCATCCATCCATCTATCCATCCATCCATCCAGTTATCCAAATCAGAAACTCAGAAGCCACCTAAAGGCCCACCTCAACCTCTCCTGCCCTTAGCCTGTTAGTCACCAGGTCCTAGTGCTTATTCTTCTGAAGTCTATCCAAACTTCTCTCCCTGCCATCCCTGCTGCTCCTGATCTCCTTGGATATCATCTGCCACGGATGACTGCAGCAGCCTCCTCCACATCTCATCACTTCAGTCTAATCCCTTCATCCTGCACACCCTGGGGAGGGTGACCTTGAGTTGCCCTCTGGTCACTTGTCAGTGATTCATTATCATACGATGTCAATGCACGTGACCGATGCTCAGAGCCTGCCAGGCCCCATTGCAAGGACCTCAGTTCTAATTCTCCTGTCAATCTGTTATCACAGAGGAAGGAGGGCACTGGAGAATAAGGAGTTAAGTGACTTGCTCAGGCCATAAAGCTCAGTAAAGCCAGAGATGGAACTGAGCCCAAGCAGCCTGGCTCTGAGGTTTGTGTGCCTAGTTGTCAGCCTCTCCTCTTTATGTGTGTGTGTGTGTGTGTGTGTGTGTGTGTGTGTGTGTGTGTGTGTGTGTTCTGATAGGGCTGCATGTATCTGTTAGAACCATGGGGTCTTTCTGAAGGAAGATGTACACCCCATTCATCCCTAACATAATAACTAGCTGAAACTACTTGCTTCATAAATGTTTATTGAGTCAATCAAGGAAAACATTCTTGCATGAGAATATGAAAAATAAAACATCCAGTTGGTTGTGGTGGTGCATGCATTTAATCCCAGCACTCAGGAGGCAGGCATATCTCTGTGAGCTGGAGGCCAGCCTGGCCTACAAAGTGGGTTCAAAACAGCCACGGCTGTTGAACAGAGAAACCTTGTCTTGAAAAACAAAGAAAAAAGAAAAGAAAATATCCATGAGCTCGTTTCTAACATGTGTCCTCTGTTCTCAAGAGCTGTGGAAACCTTGACATTCAAGCTTCTAGCTTCACCTTCTCAGCCTTCGCGTCCCTTTGAGTCCCTCATACCTCACCCGGCTCTTGGACTCCACATGGGAGGATTTTGTGTGGATGTGCACGTGTCTGTGTGAGTGTATGCACAGGTGTGTGTGGTGCCTGCGGAGTTCAGAATAGGCCATCAGATTCGTAAGAGCTGGAGTTACAGACATTTAGAGTTTCTGTTTGTTTTTTAGTTTTATTGAAACAATGGTTCACTATGTAGCCTTGGCTGACCTGGAACTCACTATGTAGACCAACCTGGCCTCAAACTCGTACTCCTTAGTGCTGGAATTAAAGGTGTGAGCCACCACGCCTGTAGGTTACAGGCATTTGTGAGCTGCCCAATGTTGGTGCTGGGATCTGAACTCCAGTCCTCATGGTTGAGCAGCAAGTGTTCTTAACCACTGAGCCATCTCTGCAGCCCCCATTGTGACAAGCTTTTTGAGATGGAATTTGTGGGCCATATAATTTACCCATTTAAAGTGCACAGCACAACAGCTTTCAGCCTATTCACAAAATGGGGCGACCTTCACCATAATCAACTTAACTTCGGTCCTTTAAAAGGAACCCCTATATCATTAGTAACCATTTCCCCATTTTCCTCAACCCCAAAGCAACTTCTTATTCATGCTCTATGACTATGGATTTGCCCAGTTTAGACACTAGACATTCACTGAATAGAATCATACAATATGTGGTCTTCTGTACCTGGCTTTTTTCACTTAGCAAAATGTTTTCCAGGTTTACTCATGGTGTGGTAAGAATTAGAACTTCACTTATTAGATGACTAATACTGAATAGGGTAGGGTATGTTTGTCCATTAGATCAATATGTTATTTCTACCATTTGCTCACTCTGAATAGTGCTACAGTGAACTTTTGTGTATGGGTGTTTGTGCCGGCATGTGCTTTCATTCCTCTTGGGGATGTCTGGATCCCAGGACAACTTTATGTTTAATATTTTGAAGGACTCTCATATCTAAAGTTTTCAGTTATTCATCTGCCTTATTCATCAGTCTCCTTTGGTGCTTTGAGGTCTCTTTGAGGGGAATTTCCACCTGGCTCATGCCTACC